CTAGGCCCGATGAGAGCAGATCGTCGGGTAATCTGCTGACCCTGCAGGCCTTCCTGCCCCTCCTCATCCTGCTGCTGCCGCATCTCCCCAATAGGCTCGTGCCCAAGTTCCGGCGGAAGCGAATTGCCCAGGTAGTCGAACTGGGCCATTTCGTATCCACCGAATTCGGTTGATGTGCTCGATACTTCTTCCGGTGTATGCTGGCCGTTGTCACTGAGCGGGATCTCGATGGTGACCACAGCCTGAAATGAGACTGAAATTAGTCTGGGGAAAGGCGAAATCAATTAAGACTCGAAAATCCCGAAAACCAAAATCATTTCCTCAATCCTCAATTCTTCAAGTCCCGTAATAATGAATAACCATCTCTACCTTAGTTTCCAAGCTGCTGCTGGATAAAGCGTCTTGATTTGAAGCTTTGACTTCACACCGAACTTCGATATGCTGATCGCTGCTGACATTGTTGTTGTTTTCGTTTACGATATAGCTGCAACCAGCAGCAGCTAGCGACGGCCCCAAAATCAGGCTGTTCCACGGCCAAGCCACGAATATACGGCCCGTTAAGGGGTCTATCGAGAAACGACCCCCGGGACAGAGCAGAGAATAGAGTACCAGGCCGTTTTGAGCCTCATCCGGATCGCTGGCGTTCACCTGTCCAACCAAACCTCCGGCAATTGCCTAAAAAGATACTCATTACCCAAGAAATCGCCTGAAGATTACCTCAGATTACTACACTTACTACCTAGATTACCATGATTACCTGAAGTATAAGTAATCCCCAACCATAACGGTAAAAAGTACCCAAACTTGTAAAAAGTACCCGACAAAACCTACCGCTACATCACTGCGCAAGGGGAACCGGAAGCTCTCCTGGCTGAATCGGGGCGCATGATCGTTCTGATCCAGAACGCGAATCACCACCGAGGTGCGCACCTGCCATAGGCCATCAGCTGCGACCACTTTCAACGTGTATTCGGATTTCTGGAATTGTGCACAAGATATTTAGCTGCAACGGATGGCAACTTGCTGTTGATATTTAGCTGCTGCATTTTAGGGGTGAATACTCGGAAAAATACTGAAATTAATATCAGGTTACGATCTGCTAACTACCTGTTCCCGATCCAGAACTGCAGTGGTTGAAATCACGCCTGAGCGCGGATCAATCCAAAAAGGTGCAGCTTCAGGTGCTGTGCCTTGCACGTCGAAACGATACTCTACAACGCTGTCAGCATCGGCGTCTGCACTGGAAACCTGCAATCGGATTTCGATTTGATTGGAACTTTTCAAAACACCCACAAATGTTTCAAAATCTAATGGTATCAATCAATACCTGCGTAACAAAGGTACCAATCGGAGCATTCTCTTGCACCTCAGCACGAAACAATCGTGAGAATTTCGGCGAATTATCATTTTCGTCCAGGACGTGAACCTAAAATTAATTTTAGGTTAGTCTTTCCAGAGGAACCACTTCTCTGCCGGAGGAACTGCATAAACCCTCCTACAAACCTGAACAAGAGCGAAATCGCTTAGTGGAGGCGAACCGCCGTCTGTGGCTTTGACTCGCAGCTGGTACAAGGCGCTAGTCTCAGCGTCCAGCGCCCTCATCGCCCAAATCACTCCACTCGTTTGGTTGATTCGGAACAGCTCCCTGATCTGCT